TAACAGAATATGCAGAATATGGTTCATTAAATAATGTTATGAAAAATTATAAGAAAGAAAATAAAGAATTAAATTGTAAAATTAAATTAAAAATATTTTTAGATGCTGCTAAAGGAATTCAATATCTTCATCAAAATAGTATTTTACATAGGGATATTAAACCTGATAATATTTTAATATTATCTCTTGATAATGATATTTCTATTAATGCTAAATTAACCGATTTTGGTTCATCTAGAAACGTTAATTCATTACTTAAAAATATCACTTTTACTAAAGGTATTGGAACTCCTGCTTTTATGGCTCCTGAAATATTAAATAAAGACCATTATAATTTCCCAGCTGATATCTTTGCTTTTGCTGTTACAATGTATCAACTATTAAGTTGGAATGATCCTTATCCAAATGACAAATTTAAATATCCTTGGAACATTGCTTCTTTCATAATGAATGGTAATAGATTACCAAAAGTTAGTTCTATAACAGATGAACAATTTTCTTTAATAGAAAATTGTTGGAAACAAAACCCAAAAGATCGATATACAATTAATGTTGTTGTTGAAACTTTAGAGCATATTTGTCCTAAATAAAAGAACATCTAATTTATTTTTATGTATTGAAATTTAATTTTTTTTAATTTTTTTCTGAAAATTAATGAAAATAATTAAACTTCTTTTTCTCATTTACATCAAAATAAAACAATACTTTTTTAACAATTAAAGAATGGATGTTCTAAAGCTTTTTCAGCTGACATTCTATCATCAGGATTATACATAAGAAGAGACCTTAATAATGAAGTTCCTTCTTTTCCAATTCGAGAGAAATGAGAATTAAAATCAATTGGGTGTGGTGCATCAGGATCAGGTGTAAAATGACAATACTTATTAACTCCTGGCCAATTTCTTTCATTCGGAACACCTAATAAATCAAAGATTTGAATTATCTGTTCTTGTTCAGACTGCCCACAAAATAATGGTCTTTTAAGAATTAATTCACCAAAAATTGTCCCAACACTCCACATATCTACTGCTGAGGTATAAGATGGCATTTTTAATAAAATTTCTGGTGCTCTATACCATAAAGAAATAACTTCTGGTGTAAAATGTTTTGACTCAGAACGAAATACTCTTGAAAGACCAAAGTCTCCTAATTTAATAGTTCCATCATTATTCATAAAAACATTTCCAGGCTTAATATCTCTATGGTATGTTCTATGAGAATGACAATATGATAATGCTTTGATTAATTGTTGAAGAATTGTCTTAATGGTTGTTAAGGGAATATCTCCTTCATAATTCTTTATAAATTTTTGAAGGTCACTATCACAAAATTCAAATACAAGATAAAGACTCCTCCCATTGTTATAAATCTCTAATAAACTATCATCAATCAATTATTTCATTCTCTTATTCGATTAATTAATTAATTAAAACAAACTTTACTATGTTTTCATGTTTTAAATCACTTAACGCTGATATTTCTCTTAATGAAGAACATGAAATGCCTTCACTTGTTACATCCATTTTAATTTTTTTAATAGCAACATATCGACTTAGTTTTTTATCCCACGCCTTCGACACAACTCCATACGTCCCTTCTCCTAAATTTTCAAGTCGTTTATATCGTTCATTAATCTCCTTCGACATCTATTTTTTACAAAGATTTCTTGACGTGTGAATGAAATCAGAATGATTGTTCATTGTTTGGCAAACAGTTGGCATCATTTTTTTTATTTAAATATTATAAATTCATTTCTTTTTAATAAAATGGTATATATAACGAAATTAATCAATATTTTATGTTTCTTTTAAGAATAAAAAAAATAGGTAATAAGAAAAGATTAAGCGTATTTTAATATAACATGTTTTGTTTGTTTTTATTTCTTTTCTTTTTATTCATTTAGTGTTGTTGTGTATTTAACTTTTTTTGTTTTTACAATTCAATTTTTAGTCTTCTTTTGTTTTTTATTTTATTAATCTTAACTCTACTCTAATTTAAGAAAAAAAATAATCTTCAATACTTTATTTGATGTTCGAGAATCAAACTTAATTATCTTTTTCATCAATCTTCGCTACGACTTTAAATCTTTTCTTCTTTTCTTTTTTGTCAACCCAACAAGACAATAAAAACATAATTCCACACCCAAACAGAATTATTAAGGGAATTAGAGTATAAATAATTATTGAAAATATGACATTAGGTTGTTCTGTTCTAAAAGAACACATTGTTCTATTTTCATTTACATACTTCCCATACTCAATCTCACATTTTTTACATTCACGTTTTCCAGGATATTTTTGAAAGGTTCCTTCTGGACATGGAAGACATGATTTCCCTGTTGTATTTTTATAATATCCAGGTTGGCAATCTTTACATCCACTTGCAGCAAGCTCCATTCCAGCTTGACATGTGAAACATCTACTCCTATCTGGATATGGGAAGAATCCATCTGGACAAACTTTACAACTTGTAGCACCAATAACATCTGAATATGTTCCTTCACTACACCTCTTACACACATATTCTCCTTCTTTGTCTTGATAATGTCCTTTATCACATAATTGACATTGAACTGAATTTCTTACGGCTGATGCAGAACCTACAGGACACTTAGAACAATTAAAACTTTCTATTAGCTGTTCATCACGATAAGTTCCTGGGTCACAAGGATAACATCCCCTAAAATAAGGTTCATCAATAAAATGAGTTCCAACTGGACAAAAAACACAATCAGTTTGTTTCTCATTTGGAGTATAACCAAATGGACATTTTGAACAAGATGTACTTTTTTCAGTTGAATAAGTACCTAATTGACATTCAACACATTCATTTTGTGATTGGAAATACCCAGCAGGACAAGCAACACATTGTTGATTTTTTAAAATCATTCCAGAGTCACACCCTTCACATTTTCTTGTTTCTGGATTAAACAACTGACCACCTTGACACTTCTCACACAATTTTGATTCTGGGTTATATATTAGTTCACAACCAAAATACTCAACAAATAATGTTGTCAAAGTAGTTCCATATCTCCATGGGGAGGCTTTTGGAATATCTTTTAATGTGACATTCATTATAAGAGAAGTTGATTCTTGATGTTGAAAGATAACATATTTCTTTGGTTCTAATGGAACAAAATTACCTATAATTACTTGAAAATTCATTAATTCATTAATAAGAGTGTTTGCAATAAGAATATCATTTCCTGATTCCTCAATTTTTGCAATAATATCAAGAGGACTATTTTGTAACGTTTTTATTGTAAGTTGTCCATCAAGTTCAATTTTACTTCGAGGAAAATTTATACCTTCTGATTGTGCAACACTAAGCACAGATATTTCGCCACTCCCTTTAATTATAGAACCATCATAACAAGTAATTCCATAAAAATTAGTTATATTAGCATCACTAAGAACTAATGTATTATAATTTGTAATAAGAGAAGGACAATTTCCACTAATCTTAGTTATATTAAAGTTTTTTAATAAATTAATTGTTGGTATATATTCATAAACACCATAATTGTTTAATTTAAAAATCTCAGAATCAATACAATTTCCTGAAAAACTTGTAGTTGTATTTAATTCGTTCAATCCTGTTGAAAACATTATTTCAGCACATTGTTTACCAACTACAATATTAACTTTAATATTAGTTGTTACTCTACTAACTATATTATCAACATAAATAACTTTGTTTGATGATACTATTACACAACTTTCAATAAGAATTAATGTAACTAGATGAATATCGCTTTGAGGGTCTAATGATTTTGATACACTTAATTGGTCAATATCTGTTTCTACATCCTCTTCTATTCTTATTGAATTTACTATCATCTGTTTGGTTGATTGAAGTGATGATCCAGATTTTAGTATTAGTGTTATTATATTTGTTTGTGAAGTAGAATCAATAAACGTTGTTCCATAATTTGTTAATGTATCTGCTTCAATGTCAAATAACTGAACTTTATTGTAACAATCAACATTTTTTAAAGAAGTTGATACTACTGTTGTTCCATTGAGTATTGATGGTATAGAAATACTGTCAAAAGTCACTTTCATCGAGTCATCTGAAGAACCAAGAGTAAATGAACCAAATTTAAATGAACCAATAAAATGTATTTCATTTTTTGTTGTAATTGACTCAAAAGTAGAATATTGATATGGTGTTGCTGAAGTTAAACAAAGATTTGTTAATGTGGCTTCTTGAGAAATAATTAAATTCATGACTGTAGAATCAAAAAAATCTCCTTTGACACACTCTAGTTCTTTTATCATAGATTGAATTACTTGTGCGTATCTTGTTGTTAATACAGAAGAGACTGTGCTTGTTGTTACATATAATTCATCAATTGTATTTGATGAAAATTCCATTTTATTATTCGTGATACGTAATGTTGACAGTACTGATGTTGTAATAAACCCAGTAGTCCCATTAAATGACAATTCGTTTGCTCCAAGATTTGATGCCGTTATCTCGACATGACCACATTGAATCTTAACAGTTTTATTGATACATTCAGCCTTCTCTATTATTGTATTTGTTGTCATAATAGCTTGTGGACATTCAACTGAATTAATGTACTTGACTGTTTCAATGAACGGTGCTCTGTCCTTAATTACGATAGAACATCCATCAAACAACACAGAGCCTGAAATGAAAGTAGCATTCTGATATAGATTAATTACAGAACCTAAAAACTCAGAATTTACTTGAAGATTACCACCATTAGTAAATTCAATAAAATTAACTCGAAGCTTTCCAAGTCCATCAATGTTGCCAAAATTTTGAGACCCTGTCGATGCTATAATAGTTCCAATTCCTTTTGTAATACTCAAAGTCCCATAATTAATAAACAAGATGTTTAATGAGACTGAATTGGTTGAAAAGGTTCCAGTCTCAAAATTGACAAGCTTAGAAATAAAAGTGGCTATACTTTCAATTGAGCCATAATTTTCAATACATTGAGAGTTTGACGCAGAGAATGCAATAAAAGATCCTTTCTTATTAATTAACTTATCGCTGTTCATAAAATTCATTGAAATTTTCCCATCGCAGAAAACTTCTTTTATATTACATTGTTCTAAATTACACACACCATATAAATTAACTCTAATTTGCCAATCACACCCACTAACATTCGAATCAATAAGTTCAACCGTTGGGTTATTATTCATAAAAGTGATAGAAGAAAATACTGATCCAATAGCCTTAAGAGATTGTCCAAAGCTCATATCAATTGTAGCTTCAGATAATGTCACATTATTGAGGATAGCTTTTGTAAGTATTAGAGTTGAAATAGCAAGAGAATTAGAATTGGCATTGACTGTTAATGTCCCTGACTTTTGTTTTAAAGATGTTGCTATTAGAGTGTTAGTTAATTGAAGAACATCACCATTTAATTCAATACTCCCAGTAATAGACCCAATACTGAGAATGTCATTTTCTATAGTAACTGAAGTTGACAAACTTGAGTGGATATATTCTAATCTTTTTTTACCAATAAATGTAGAGGAAACAAATATCCCATGACCAACTATAACATCCTCCTCAAATGTCAAAGTTGAACCATCAGTAGGACAGAAATACTCAGACAAAGAAGAGAATGTAATAGTACTTCCAATTATTTTAGTAGAAGAAGTACATGAAAAGGATTTTTTGATAGTGCCAATAATCAAAGTTGTTCCAGAAATAGCTAGTTCAGAGTCAATTGTTGCAATAATAGAACCAGATGATATCGTTACTTGACCACCTTGAGTGTTAATTGTTCCAGTTGGATTAGATAAGATGAGAGTGTCTGACTCTCCTAAGATGAAATTAACTAGATTCGCTTCTATTGTATTTAAAGTAACTGTTCCTTTAATTATCATTTTTTGAATTGAATCAAAAATAAAGGAATCAAGTGTACTAGAAGTAACAAATGAATCAACAGATGAAACTGTTGAATTAGATATTATCGTTGAATTGGAAATGTCAATACCATTGACCTTCTTAAAAAAAGAAACTAAGTTGAGGTTTGTTCCAGTAACTTTTCCTTGAACAGTTATCATTGAAGATATTGTTCCACTCCCATTTAGAACAACATCTCCAACAATAGTTCCAGATCCTTTAATATTTGTTATTCCAAACGAAGTTGCAATTGTAGATGCTGTGGTGCTGGTAATAATGATTGAAGGAGAAACCAAAAATGACACTGAAATTGTACCACCTGTTGTTACTGACCCACTAGAAATAACATTAATATCACCAGTCATTTGACACTCAGAATTTATTGTTATTGAAGGAGAAGTTAATGTAGTTACTACAGTAGACTTGATTATGCCACTAATCGAAGCAGTTAGAGAAAGTAATGATACTGAATTAACTTGAATAGACAAAATTCCATTGTTACTAACAGTATAACTTCCACCAGAACTAAAAGAGTCAGTAAGTTCAAGAGTTACGTTATTACAAGAAACTCCTCCAATAATTAAACTTGCCTGATTAGATGAAGTTAAAGAAACAATAGTTTCAACATTTGGACATATAATAGCATTATCATTAAGATTAGGAATGCCATTAGGACTCCAATTTGAGCTTGACTCAAATAAGTTACTACTAGCTCCTGTCCAAATATAAGATGTTGATAAAGCCAATGAAATAAATAAGAAGAACAGCATGAAGAATTACAATAAGACAATAAATTAATAAGATTTCATGATTCATTTTATATATGCCATTGTTTCTTTCTATTTTAATTAATTACAGAATAAGAAAGAATCAAACCAAAACCAGAGCAAAAACAGTTATCTATTCTAAAAATATATAAGATGTAATAAATTTAAAATTATAAAAACAATATTTTAAAAATTAAAGTAAAAAAAAAATAATTTAGTTCATCTTAATCTAAATTTGACACGAATATAATAAGCAATAGGATTAAGTAGATAATCCAAAATGCTTACAATAACAACTAAAGTAGCCAAAAGAGGCATTAATCCCCATTTATCCATGAATGGATATGGTCTAATATTAAACCTAAAGAAATCATAAAGAGCTAATGAAGCATAACCCAAGAAAGCAACCAATGGAACAAAGCGAGAATATTTGTAATTATTATTGACTCTTTTATTTCCTTGACTGAAAACAAAACAGTCTACCAATAAAAATAATAATGGGAAGGAATGTTCAAAATGAGTTACAAAAAGTTGTTCCATTAATGAGGGTTGCCAGTCATCAGACACTCTAAAAACAGCACTTGGTGATTTGAAATATAAAATCCAAAACATAATACTAACACAAAGACACAAGACCAATGCCGTTTGTTGAGTTGAATCAACTAATACTTCCATAACTACATTTCTTTTTTTATTCTTCTTAGTACGTTCGACCTCAAAATTAAATAATAATAATGTCATTTGTTTACAGAAAGCGACAAAGAAATAGAAAGCACATCCCCAACAACTCCACATTGTCCAAAATCTACACATCCTACCAAAGGTGTAGTCATGAGAAATCATATGTTCAGAAGTTATGACAACGATGAAAGTGACAACACAAATGTCATAAATCATACGATAGAATGCCTTCATTTTTGAGAGTTGTTTAATGGTATCAAGTTGTTTTATCATAGTAAATTGACAATATGATTTCTAAGTTCAGATTTATTCACTTACCTTTTCCTCTTAGTTCCTGAAATGGAAATAACCTTTTTTTCTTTCTTCTATGAAAAATTGTCTTTTTTTTTGTTTTTAATCCACAAAACTTTATTTCTCCCTTATTGAGAAGTTTTTCGCTCCACAATTTTTATTACTTTATATTTTTGATCTTTTGTTTTAATGAATTGAAAGTGGTGTGCCAGAATCATTACACAAAATCCTAAAATATATTAAAGCTTCAAGTCTCTCAAGTTATAGTTTGGTTTTGACATTACCTTTTGTGAGAAATGCTTCTCTAATACTGATTGATTGCTTTTGTATTAATATTTAATATAATGGTATTATTTATTTATGAACATACAAATACATTTGATAATGAATAGTTTAAATTGAGTATATAGATGTTATCAAGAAAAGAGTGTTTGTTAAGTTGTTTCTGATATTAAAGGAGATAAAATATAATCATAATATTATTGATATACTCTTCTTAAAATATCAATATAAAGAATAAGGAGTTTTAATATTCATCAATTCAAAATAAAAATCAAATAATAACTTAAATGAAGAATAATTAAGTTGATGAATGATGTTTAAAGAAGCTTTAATTCAATAGAAATAAAACATTTTAAAAAAAATGAGACATTTATTTCTCAATGTGATGAAATACTAACTATTAGGTAAATTATAATTGATTTCTTTATTTAAATACCTTCTGTTTTAATTGAAGAGAAGCAGCTTTTATTTACCCTCTACGCATAATCATTTATGAAAGAATTAATTCATAAGTAGACATTCAGAACCAAAAAAAAAGAATAGAGGTGTTTTAATAAAGAAAATTTTAAGACTTGATAATAAGATTTCAATCAATTCATATGATAAACTTGGTCATTAGTCCATTGTTTTGCTTCACAAGAACATTTTAATTCTATATCTAAATGACGAGGATGAGAAGCGGCTGGCTTACAATGATATACACCTTTTACAACGTCACCAGGAGCAGCATTATCAAAGGGAAGATCGAAATAAAAACAAGTTTGTTTCCAGTGAGTATTAGTATCAGGTTTAGTAGTAAGGTATGACTTCTTTAAGAAAGTACAATCGAAATACAAACAAATACCAGAAAGAGGAACATCTCTATTAATAACAAATTCAAAAGGAACCGTAAAGTCCATTTGATTAACAGACATATGTCTCAGATCAAAAGTAATTATTTTAACTGGAGTAGTACAAAGATATCTACTATCACAGTAATCAACTAATGGATCTACTGTAACATCAGAAACAACACATGAAAAATCAAATCCATATACATTCGACCAAAACCTTTCTTTTTCTTGTAATAATTCTTCATCATTAATTCCTGCAATATAAATACTTGCTGTATCTGGAAGAATAATTCCATCATCTTTTAAATACTTATCACGTGCATAAATAACACTAGCTAACATAGACTCAAACATTAAATTATATCCCATCCATTCACTAACAATAATATCAACTTTTTCTGGAATATCAACTTCTTCCATTTTGCCTTGAATTAATGTAATAACATTTTCATATCCATTTAATTTAATAATTTCTGCTGCTTGTTTTCTTACTGAACTCATTTCAACTGCATAAACGTGTTTTGCTCCATTACGTGCAGCAAACATAGAAAGAATACCAGTTCCACAACCAACATCTAATACTATTTTACCTTTAACAACTGAAGGTACTAATGCTCTTTTATATGATAATGTACGATGTCTATCTTTTAACATTTCATCATGAATTCCAGGATGTGAATAGCTTTCCCAATAATATTCACTATCAGCACCAGCAAGGATATCAGTTGGTTTGCATTCTTCCATTATAGGGTTACTTTTGATTCTTTTTTGTTTTATTTTTCAGTTTAATTTTTTTTATGAATATATTCTATATTTTACTATTATATTTTTATTTGTTATAATTCTTATTAAATTAACAAAATACAATTTGTGTAAATAATGAATTATTAATCATCGCTTATTACTTGATTTTGTTGAGTTAATTCTTCTGTCATTTCTTCTTTTTCTGTTGACATTTCTCTGGGAATTTCTTGAGTTAGTTCTTCAGTATGTTCTAATGGTTGAGGTACTTGAAGAGAGTCTTCTTGTTTAGGTTCATTTTGAAGTTCAACAAAAAGACTTTCTTGTTGTTCATGGTAATTAAATAAACAAGGGATTTTAATAACTTTAGTGTATAATAAGAATCCAATTACTAAAAGTATAAATCCAATTACTTGGACAATAGTACTCCACCCAACAGATTCTCCATATGATGAGCTAATTACATAATGAATAAAAACTGAAACAATCCAGACAGAAATCATTCTCATTGGTTCTAAAATATTTCTTATCATTGCATTTGAATATCGAATAACTGCTGTACCAGCGAAATTAAAGAATAAAATAACAATGATATAAGCGATACATAAAGATAAAATTAAAGAAGAATTATAAATCATATAAAATGTGTCTACAATATTTTCTCTAATAGATGCTGGTAAAAATGGCATAAAATAATAAAGAGTTAATACAATAATACAACACAAACATCCATAAAATCCTCTTAATCCAACAATAAAAGCTACTGATGCTTTAACATCATGTAATAAAATTTCTTCTAAAATTGTTTGAAGTGCATGTAAAAATTGAGCAAGAATAATTAAAGAAATACCAATTAAAATATAATACCATTCTGAATGTTCTTTATTATCATTTGAATTAGAAGAATCATCATTTTGAGATGAACCATTTGGAATAAACATAGAACATCCTACAAGAATTAAAGCAACAATAATTAATCCTACACCAGTAAAATGAAATACGTATTGTTTTTGTTTTCTCCAAAAAATTGCTAATAACATAGCAAAAATAATAGTACTTCCTCTCATCATTTGATATACACTTGACGGAATATACAATAATCCAAAATTCATCATATATGTTCCAAGGAAATCACAAATTGATGGTAAGAAAACAAATAAATATTGTTTAAATGTTAATCTTTTTGGTTGTTGTTCTTCTTCAATTTCACCAAATGTTTTTGGAGGTTCATTATTATTTTCATTTGGAGCAAGACTTTGTTCTTCATTATCACTAAATATTTGTTTATTTCTTTTTTTATAACAATTTATACAAAATTTAATTAATTCTGTAAAGTAATAAATAATAAGTGCTAAAAACATTCCAAAGAACATTAGAAAATTAAAAAACATTGGACGTTCAAATAATTCAAAATTTCCTTCTTTATTTTTGGATTCAGCTGCGTATGTTGTCTTTGAAATAATAGTACTTCCTGTTCCCATTATAAGAAATAGACATACAAAAAATATTAATAATAAAAGTCCTTTGTATTGTTGAATATAACTAATAATTTTCATATGTTAATAATTTTCAGTTCTTATTTCTTTTTCAAATATTTTTTATTACAACAGAAATACAACTATTTCTAAAACAAAATATCTTTCATCTTCTTTTTTTTTGATTTTTTCTTTTCCTATGAAAAACCCCCAAGATAAAAAATACTTGACGAATTTTTCGTGGTTATAAATAGTTTTATGAAGACATATAATCGAAATTTATATTTTTAGTTATTTCATACATCAAATTCACCCTCTTTGTATTTCCTAATTATATCATTTAATTCTAATGTTTTTGGACTTTTATGTTTATTTTTTTTCATAAAATGAGTTAGATTGCACATGAAAAGAGTTAAATATTACTAATAACAAATATATAGAAAAAAGAAAGAGTTTTATTAAGAATCACAAATAAAAGAATAAAGAAAGTAAAGAAATTAAAAATTTTTTTCTATTTATTGAAAAATGGATTATCTTTAATTTCAAAAAGAGTTATTGGATGTTATCGATAAATAATTATACTGACATAAAACATTGTGAAAATATTACAAGTGTTTCTTTTAGTGAAAAAAGAGGTGTTCCATTAAGAATTGGATATTCACTAATGTCTAGTTTTGTAACTAATTGTTTCGAGGTTATAGAGTTTTCTAACCTCACAAATAGTTTTAATACATTAACTAATTCATTTGTTGTAAATAAAAATCTTCCATGTACACAAGTTCTATTCCTTGAAAATAATACGCCAAGAGATTGTTTAGTTGTATGTGGAGAAAGTATTGGATTATATGCTATTGAAGAAAATAAAGATCCAATTCAATCAAATAAAATAGTTGATCTTTATATGTTTAGAGATAGTGATACATTATCTCCTGCTGTGGGTATTGACCAAATGAGGAATGAAAAAACTAGATTAGTTTCTTGGCATTTAGATAGTTCAATTGACCTTTGGTCAATTCATAATGAAGGAGTATTTATTATAAGAAGTCTTAAAGTTAAAGATTTAACAAGTTTATCATGTTCATTGACAGATCCTAATTTATATTTTATGAGTACAAAAAGTGGGATCATTCAAAGTGATTGGAGAGATGGAAAAAGTACTATGATTATTAAAGATGAATATCAATATATATCAACCAACAGTATTGACTCTAATAAACTGTGTTGTGCTAAAGCAAATTCTATTAACATTTTTGACTTAAGGAAAACAGATAAACCAATAAGAGATGTTTATATAGAAAATCAAATTGAAAGTATTCAATGGAAAAGTGAAAGTCTTTTTGTAATTACTACCAAAGGGGTAATAATAATGAAAGAACAAGAAAATAAAAAAATTGAAAAAAAAATTCCATTAGAAGGTTCTTTTGGGATTGACCAATCTATTGTTTACCCGTCATGGATTTCAATCTTTACAGAGAATAAATTAGTTCTATGTAATCTAAATCAATTATAGTAAGTGGAATGAAGTAATTAATTAAAAATTTTATATTTAATTTACTTTTCTTCTATTTTATGTAAAGTGTTAATTGGATGATTAAATTAATCAATTAAATAACGTAGTGAATAAAGAATAATATTTGTTATTAAGTTGTTATTAAGAAAAAAAAAGATAAAATAAAAAGGAAATGAAATAAGCGTTAGAATAATATATAAACTCTTCAATTTATTTTTAGAACATTAATATTAAATTATCAATAAAATCATTTATTCCTTTATTTTTAAATAAACACTTAACGCTTCTTTAATTGTTCTGCTTTTTTCTTATCAATTTCAACCAGTTGTTTTGTTTTAAAATTTTCAAACATTTGAGTTTCAACAAACTCTTTAAGAAATGGTTGAATATCTTTTTTTTGACTTTGAACAAATTCATTTTTCATAAATAAACTAATAGCATTACAATCACTTCCATGTGATGAAATGCAATAATCTTCAAATTCTTGAAACATTAAACGAATTTCTACTTGAATTTTTTGCATTGCCCATTCAATAATTTGAGAATGAATGAGAATACATTTTGATGTAGAATGGGCAGGATATCTTTTTAATGGTTTTAATATTTCTTTAATGTCATTAATAATACGTTCATTAATTGGGAATGGAATTACTTTCTCACCAAAACATTGAAGTGTTTTAGAGTCTATATTATATAAATATGAATTTTCTGGTAGTTCAGATGGAACCTTATAACATCCAACTAGTAGAGGAGTAGGAGAATCCATTAAATCAATTAATTTATTTGTTAATACACTGATAATAGGAAATTCATATTTAAATGGTTTAATAACTTCTATAAGGAATGATATTGCATTACTTACTAAACACCTATGTTCACTTTTGATAAACACCTTTCTTTCCAACAATACTGCTGATATTAATGTTAAAAGACTACTTAATGGAACTACTCTAAAGAATAAACAACGAGAAAGGGTAACATCTTTATCAATTAAAGGATCAGCTTTCCATGACACTTTTATTTGTTTAGAGAAACTAGAAGGAAGAAGAAAATATGAATGAAGATAGTCTTCAAAAACATCACAAGGTGGATGTTGTTCAAAAGTTATTTGATTAGAATAATCAAGATCTAATAATGATTCTAAGAATGTTATTTGAAGACTAAATCGATTACAAAGAGATAATAATACATAAATAACTTCATCTTCATAATAAACTAATGGATTTGTTTCATCTCTTTGTATTCGAAGTTTAGAAAAACAAAAAGCGTATCGAGTTAATCCAATAATTTGACTAGCAAAGAAGAATGTAAAGAAATGAGATACATGTTGATGTGACGTTTTGCATTGATGCATTATCTTTTCTACTTCTTCAACTGATTTTGCTTCTTTGCGTGTATGAAGTACACCTTCTGGAAAACAATAATCAACTAAAATATCATATGTAAAATCATTTAACTGAGTTGAAGGGTATTGATATAATACTGTTGGTGTATCGTCAATACTATTACTTCCTATAATAAGAAATTGATCAGCTAATTGTTGTTGAGGAGGTAATTCTCCAAGTTTTAATTGAGAAAACATATTTCTTCTTTTTCTTTCTTCTTCAAAGTCGTTTGGCTTATAACGTTTTGAGTAAATCTTTAGTTTTGTACTTTTCATTTATCTCTACCCAATCTTTCTTATTTTTTAAGTTTTTAGATTGGTTTTACTCTTTTTTCTTTTTTTCTTTGAAATGTATAACATTTTTTTTTTGTTTTAAAATTGAATGACTCTTTTTTATGTATTATTCAACTTAGTTTTCATCCTTCAAACGACAATCAAATTCTATTTATATAACAGAGGGTTATGAAAAGAAAAGACAGCCAATTAATTAAGAAAGTAAATTACAGAAATAACTACACAGAATCAAATGGATTAAATAATAAGGTTCTACATATTGTTAATTGTTTAAATAAATGATGGTATTGAATAGAACTTTCATTTAACATTAAATTATCTTTACAATAATGAGATAATGAAAAGAGATGATATTCCCCATTAGACTCTAATTCATTAAAGTGTTGAATGAGGATTATGTCATTATCATCAAATGAACTTCTATTATCAATCAAGTCATACTCATTAATAGTAACACTCTCATAACTTGTTTCATTCTCTTCTTCCTCTTCTAACTCTTCTTCAGTTACATCTTCACTTAATGGTTCATCACTTATTTCATCATTTTGTTCAGCACAGTTATCTTTTTCTTCTTCTAACTCTTCTTCAGCATTAGTAAAGGTAAGTATAAATGCAACAACTAATGACATAATAATCTTTTTTATGTCTATCATATGTTATGACTAGGAGAATGAACTTCTAAGTTTTTCAATAGCCAAAACTTTATTAATCGAACAAAGGGTTTCTATCCTGACTTTAAAGTCTCACTTTGTATTTTTGATAAAAAAACTTCCACTTTTCCTTTTTTGGTGAGTCAAAATTACTTTGATTTGAAATTGACTTTTTCATTTTGTTTTTATTATCCTTGTTATTCTTTAATAACAAAATTTTTTATATAAGACATTTTTTTTAAAATCATAAAATGCAATTATTATGAAACATGGAAAAAATAAAAAAAGATCTTAATACTAAAAAATCATAATTTTAAAGATGGAAAAGATATTGTTTTTATTGTCTTTTATCCTTATTGCTTATGCTCAAACCAACATCACACAAACAAATGGAACAATGAACAATCAAACTTTACTTGTATGTTTATTTTTCTTAATTTAGTAAAACAGATATGATTAAGAATGAAAAGTAATAACTATTCGTTTTGACATAATCATATTATTAGTACTGAGTTCTTTTTATAATCTTGACTCAAACAAAAAATTAATGAATTAGGGAAGATATGATATAAAAGAAATCATGATTGGTGGTAAGAAAATCAAAACTACTAACCCAAAAAAAGTTCCTTTGTGGACTCGTTTACAAAAGTATGAGAATGAAACTAAAATTAATCAAACACAACTAAATGAAGCTGAACTTTTGAATAAAAAGAAAAAAGCAGAAATTACTAAACTTGTGGATGAACAGTTGGAAAAAAATAAAAAGTACTTAGGTGAGATTGAACAATTTAAAGTAGCACATGCAGTTTTTGCTCATTCAAACAATTCTACAAATCAAACTAATACTACTACATCAGCACCAAAACTTGATGATATCCAATTAAATAATTCTACAATTGATTTTGAAATTCCAAGAAGATACCGAAATGCTAAATGTAAACCAATAGTAAAGAAAATTTATAAAAAGAAACAACCTAAACAAAGAAAGGTAGTAGAAGTTGACGTATTAGAAGAAAAAGTTAAACAAAAAAAAGCTGAAAGATTAATTAAAATTGCTGATGCTTTCATCCAAAATACTAATGATGACGAATATCAACTTTCAAATGATGATATGGACTTTTTGAACAGTTTAGACATAAATTAAACTTGATTTTATTCTTTGTTTTATACTCCATTCTTTCAATTATTTAACAAAAATAAAAAAATATATGTTATTGAATTTATCTTGAGGTTTAGACTCTTCAACTCATTCAGTTGAAAATATCTGAAACTAGAAAAAAAGACAGATTAATAAAAATATAGTAAAAAGTATAAAACTAAAATCCTGAGTATTAATGAAAAAAACTTCAAGAAGGGTTGAGTTTTTTTTACCTTTTCATTTGAAGTGAAAACATCAAAGCATTAGATAAAAAGGTCAAAAGAAAGAACTTTAAAATCTTATTATTGATGCAAACCGAGAATTGTCCCATTTATTGTTGTTGTAGAGAAGTCTTAAGAACATTAGAAGAAAGAAAAAAGAGGTCAAGTAAAAGAAATTTATGTCAACGAAGAAGACATATTAAAGCATTATGTTTTTATTATTTGAATCAAAAAGGATATTCGTTAGAATTCAAAAAGACAAGTATTACTAAGCCAAATGAATTTAAAATACTTGTAATCAAAAATCAAAATGGTGAAATTATTTTCAATAGAAAAAATATTAAAGAACAAGCTATAATCAATGGACTTACTGGTTATGAAAGAAAAAAGTTCATTGAATTTAATACAATACGTAAGTTAGTTAGAGAACTAGAACTTCAAGGTATGTTTATTACTTTCCAGTCACTAAGAAGTTCTACTGACATTGCCCAACTAACACTAAATGACAATATAGAACAACAAGTACAAACAACTGGAAAAGAATGTTTTTGTAAAATCAATGAATTGATTGAAGATGATTTATGTGTAATTCCACCTTATTACCTCTAATGAAAACATAAATATTTGTTTATTATAAAACTTAAGACCTTTTAACTTAATACGTACTAATATTCAATTGTTTTTATTACATTTTGTTTTAGGTTAATCAGAACTTATAACTTCTATGTCTTCAGAGTTTTGACATTGACTACCTGTATCATTTATGTATCTGATTACTCTACCATTTGTATCTATTTCTACATTTATACAATCTTTTGGAGCTTCTCTTATGATTTTCATAAGAGAATGGTCAATAATTAATGAGCAAAAATAACACTTTTTTTCACATAATGGACAATTCCAATAATTATTTTTTAAACAATACTCAATGAATCCAATTGCATTAACCACAGTTGAATGTTTACATAACACCCCTTTAACAGGAATTGTTATAGGACAAAAACTCAATGGACAACGAAGACTGATAATATTTGTTCCTACAATAATATCATCTTTTTCATCATCTTCTTGTTCTTCTGTCTTTTCATTTAAAACATAGTTTTCATTATCCAAATCAATAACTTCAACTTCTTTTTCTATAGAACTAACTCGTGGTGCTTTCTTTTTACATATCATTTCATAAATCATTTTTGCTTCATTACGGTTATTTCCTTCAAGAATTTCTCTTAATAATTGAGGAATTTCTCTATAAGAACATAAACATGCTACAATAACAACTTCTGGAGAATATTTATTAACCATAATAGATACCATATTTTTTGTTGCAAAACATTGTGTAGTAATATCAAGTGGTTTTCTAACAATAGCTGGTTCAGAATGTGGCTGACCATATAATGGCTCATAAAACCCATCTAAATTAATAAAGGTAGAATTAACACTTGTTTGTATAAAATAAATTTCATTACATTCTTTATTTCTCTTTAAGTCAAATAAACGAAGAATAATCCTTTTATTATTTATTTGTGAAGAAGGTGTTGTTATTGTGAATCGAGATGTAGTAAATGATGGATTAAATACAGAACAATATATTATTTCATTAATCATGTATTGTGGATGTTGTGTTTCAAAAAATTCAAGGGGAAGTTGTGATGGTGAAAATTGAACTTGTTGAGTATTTTGAGTTTTATACAAAGGAGACAACATTATATTAATATTAGAACCATTTTTATTAATGGTTTGTTGATTTGAATTATTTAAACCATTAGAATATTCTTGGGATGTATCAATTCTTTTTGGTACCTTATCGGCTTGTTCATCAAGATGATCAGGGATTTTTAACATTTGTTCAATAAGAAAAGCCCTTTCTTTTAAATAATGACCTAAATCAGTTTGAGTAATAGTATTATTTGGTAATTTCTCATGTTTAGTACTAAACTGATATTGTTTTATATCAGTGTATGACCCAACTGGATGATGAATAAGATAAGAGAAGTATTTAATATATCCTTCTTTATTTATTCCTGTTTTCTTCTTTTCAAACCCAAATCCAGGAAATAACTCATTAAAAAGAAGTCCCATTTCTTCAATGTCTTTAATTTTCATTTGTTTAATTTTCTTTTCAAAGAAATATTCTGCATTTCGTTGAGTAAGGCCATACGGTTGAAGTTCTGATTGAATTTCATTTAACCTATCAATCACGTTAGTCATATAAAGAATCTCTCTCAAATTTTTTCTTTCTTTTTTTTAAGATTTTTCTTTTTATTATTTTTTGACTTTTGGGATTAATTAAAGATGATAGTTTTATCTTTATTTTTTTCAAGTACAAAATAACGTAATTTTATTTTATTTTGACCAAATAAAAACATCAAAACAAAAAACTCTTGGAATCATTTGTTGGAAGTGTTTTATTCTTATTAAACAGTTTGAAGTGAGTAAAATTTATAAACAAAAAGAAGTTACAATATAAAAATTTATAAAAAACCTAAAAAGAGAAAAAAACTTAAAAAAATCTCAAAATGAAAAAGAAATGAGTAAAAAAGAAAAAACCCATCATCAAAAGCAGAAATCAAAAGATAAAAAAGGAGGTTTCATGAGTTTCTTTAAGAAGAAGAAAGATGAAGAAGAACTTATCATTTCTGATCCAAAAGACTTCGAACAAATCACTCATGTTGAACTTGGTGATTCTGGTCTCACAGGATTTCCTCCAGAATGGAGAGAAAAACTTATTAAAGCTGGTTTGACTGAGGCTGAAATTAATACAAATGAAGATAGTGCAAAGTTAGTTGCTGCTTCTGGAATTTCAAATGATAATGGAAATAGAACAACGTTTACTAATGGGAAAGAAGAAGAAGACGATATTACTCAATACACAACTGCAGCTGATCCTGATGAAAATTATGAAAATTTAGCTAAAACAATTTATGGAGATGAAGATGAATATATGGCTACAAGAAAGTCTGATGGAATGGAAGTTTCATTAAGAAGAATGAGAATTACTAAGAAAACTAAACGTGCTGTAGTAAGAGAAGTTGTTGTATTATCAAAATGTGTTAATGACAATATTGTTAAATATGTCGAATGTTATTTAATTAATGACATGCTTTGGTTAGTTACTGAATTAATGGATGCAGGAGAATTAACAAATGCAATTGATCTTCATCCAACTTTACCAATGAAAGAATGTCATATTGCATATGTATGTAAAAGAGTACTACAAGGGTTAGTTTATCTTCATAAAATGGGTATTATTCATAGAGATATTAAGTCAGATAATATTCTTCTCCATCATAAAGGTACAGTTAAATTATCTAATTTTGGATTTGCGGCTATTCTTACTTCAGCTCATCCTAATCGTAATTCAATTGTAGGAACTCCTTTTTGGATGGCTCCTGAATTGATTAAATCACAAAATTATGATACAAAGGTTGATATTTGGTCATTAGGAATTACTTGTAGAGAAATGGCTGATGGTACTCCACCTTATATGGACTTTCCACCAATGAAAGCCTTATTCCAAATTACAACAAAAGGAATACCTCCTTTAGAAGGTACTTGGGATGATAAATTTAAAAATTTCTTAAATAAATGTCTTAATCCTGATGCATCAAAAAGGTCAAGTGCAGAAGAACTGTTACAAGACCCATTTATTTCTATGGAATGTACTGAAGAAGAATTTATTGATTTCTTAACTCAAGTTAGAAAGATAAGCGATGAAGAAATGGCACAAGAAGACGATGAAATACCAGCAGAAGAATAAAATTGACACATTATCTATCTTCCATATTTATCTTATTTTCAATTAATTTCCTCCTTTTTTTTTTATTACAAAACTAACTTATTATTATCAATTATATTTTGAATGAGTCGAAGTAAATGGTATATTTTGTTAACCGAAGAAATTCTTTTGCCTATTTGTTGCAAATGCAACTCAAAGATATCACAAGAATTAAAAGATGAAATCAATCCTATTATTTCTCAATTTGTTCTTGAGCATTCATCAGATGAAAATCCAATTGAAATTGGATTAAATATAAAAACAATATTTTCTCTGGGTACTTTAGAAATTGAAATAAAAGAAAATGATAATATTGAATTACTTGAAATGCCTAATTTCAAAAAAACTAATTTTTATGTTTTTGTTAAAGTAATTATTAAAGAACCAAATTCAATTGAACATGAACCATTTATAAAATCATTTAATGAATTAATTGATAAAATTGATCAGTCTCAACAACCTAAAAGTATTTATTTTAATTAAAGAACTTGAAATTCAATCTTTGGTTTATTAATGTCTTCAATTAAATTGTTTTTTCATAGATTGTTGAAATTATATTATTTAATCATGTTTCTCGGATGGAGTTATGCTTTATTCAAATGTATTGTAACAATTAAAACTAATGGCTTTGACTCGTTTTCTTTATTCCTTAATACGTTTGAGTTATATTTGTTTTTGTTATCATTATCTTTAGTTGGAGTTTGTCCTTTTAATTTAATTTTTCAAATGTAAGTGTAAGAAAGTGTAATTAATTAACATAGTTGGTGATTCTATTTTTCAGAGGACAAATAGAAAGAATAATTGGTGTCATTCATTTCACAACACTTCTTCTTATAACCTTTTCTATTTGTCAATACCCAGAAACTATCAAAAATGTATTTCTTCTTGAATTATCACTCCCAATAGTAATGATTCCTTTGTATTTTAATGATTGCTTTAAACTTCTATCACCTTCATCTATTCTTAACATCTTTATTATCACATTCCCTGTGGCTATTCTTGGAGAATTTGTTTATTTATCTACATCCTTCTTAATTGTAGATTTTCCATTTGCTTTCTATTTGATAATCAACATTTTATTATTACTTTTAGGACAACCAATTATTCTTATGGTTGTTATTGCACCTGTGATAAAGACAAAAACTCATTTTGATGAATCAGCTCCTACTCATGATGTAACCAAAGATGATTAAAATTTGATTGTTTTTTTTTGTAATACATACCAAAAACCTAAAAAATAAAAGAAAAACTGGGAAAAACAAGAAATAAGTAAAATAAAATAAAATATAAAGAATTAGGAGAATATAATAAAAGAATAATAAAAAATGAAGAAAAGAAGAACTCTGATTGGGGTGATACCCTAGTACTGGAAAATCAGTCAGTATCTTTGTGAGAAAAGGGATGAAATTCAATTGCAAAGTTAGCTCAAATCCAAGCAAAGCTAGAAAAGCTCTTTACACTGCTAATGCTTCCCAAAGAGCTCTCATGATGAGTGCTAGACTCTCTAAAGAGCTCAGAGAAAAATATAATGTTGTTGCCATCCCAATTCACAAGGACGACGAAGTTAAAATCATTAAGGGACATCAAAAAGTTGCTGGAAAAGTTACTGCTGTTAGAAGAAGTAAATATGTTATCAACATTGATAAATTAACTAAGACTAAAGCTAATGGACAAACTGTTCCAATTGCTATTAGACCATCTAATGTTATTATTACTAAATTATTCTTGAACAAGGATCGTGAAGCACTTCTTGCTAAGAAGGCTGAAAGTAGAAAATCATATAAGGAACTCGTTGCTAAGAGAAATGAAGAAGTAGCTAAAGCCTTTACTGCTGTTTATCCAGCCCTTAATATGGACATCTTCGGAAAGAAAGTTGAACCAATCACTGAAAAGAAACCAATTAGAATTCCATCAAAGAAAATGGCAGAAAAACTTATGTCTAAACCAACCCTTAGAGCTTACAAAACTGGAATTAAGGTTCATAAAGCCAAGAATGCTATTGCTGCCTACAAAGCTGCTCTTGCTAAGAAAATCGCTAAATAAGCAACTTCTATGGTACTGTTGAAAAGAATTAATGGGTTACTTTTATTGTCATTTTATTTATTTTTATTTTATAATAACTAAAATATAAATAAAAATTAATCAATTTTGTTGACGTGGTTCAATAATTAATGACTTGTCGTAAAGTTCCTTTTCACCCATTGTCAAACATCTAATCTCAATCTTCCTAATAAAAGCAAGTATTTCAGGATTACGGTAATACTCATAATATCTTTTATAAAATAACATATCTTCAATCACCTTTGTTGTTAATGAACATTTTACAAAATTAACATCACCATTTTCATTTTTATCTTCATTACCTTCATGAATAAAAGTTAAATCCTGAAGATAGACTCCAAAAAATGGAATACAAGGGAATGATTGATGTGATTTAATATCAGCACGGTATGCTTGATAACTTCCTGTTGGAATAGTTACTCTCTCTAATGCTTTCATCTTTTTTGAAAAATTACCAACTTCTTCCCAAGTCAACTTTAATCTACCAACAGGAGTTGAGTTCAATCCAGAAAACATTTCGAAAACTCCGTTGTAATTATTTAATCGAAGCATCTCCTCTCCTATAGAAATGAATTTTTTGATAATTGTTGCACGTTGTTTTATATTTGATTCATCAACAATAGTAGAGATAACCCAATTTGTAATTGAGTTAAAATGGTCTATCAATGCACAAAGATTCGGACTTCGTTCAGTTTTATCACTTTTAGTCCAAGCATTTCCCAACATTTCTTTTGCTTCAATAGATTTAAATAATTCATATTCATATAAAGTTAGTTGTTGGGCAAATTGTTCAGTTGGTAAAGTAGAAATAGTGTATTCTTGTTGGACATTAACTATATCAAGTTTTTCTTCAATAGTTAATTTTTGAGAAGCACTTTGAATCATCATTTGTTTATTTAGTGCGGTTTTCTTCAACAATGTATCATTTTCATTTTGTTTAAGAAATTGATCTAAAAGAGGTAATAACGCCTCTTTACCACCATCCATAAAATCATGAGGAAATGAAGACATCCATTTAGATAACATAAAAAGAATTTTAAGAATAGTTTTATGTTGTACATCTTTAATTTGTTTATTATTTGATTCATTTTTATTTTCATTGTATAATCCAATTAATTTATTAAAAAATTCTGTTGGAGAAAGATATTGTCTATAAGTAATAAGTAATGTTTCTATAAATTTGATATTATTATCAATATTTGGATTAACTGCCCATCTTATTAATGCTTCAATAGATCCAGAAACAACTTCTCCTTTATCATCAGTTTCAATACCTTTAGAATCTGTTTGAAGACTAACTTTAATAAAAGCAGAACGTTTTTGATTTGAAATTTTTTCTTTTTCTCTTTTTAGACTTTCACTAAGAACACTAACTTTTTCATTAAAACATTCTACATCTTCTTTATAAGTTGACATTTGTGCTGATTTAATCATAGCGTATAATTCATAATAAGCTTTTCTAATTCTCATTTTTATAGTAAGGATTTCCATTTGAACATTATATGTATCTCCGATTTTATAAACAAAATCAGGAATTGTTTGTCTTTTGCTATAAGGAAGAACAAAAGGAGGATTTATTTTTTCATTTACTGTATGAATTGTTTCTTCTAATTTATATAAAATTTCTTTTAATCCATTTAATTCATTTGAATTTTCTCCTGGATCTCCAAATGAATAACAATTAATAAACATTTCTTTAGGATATTGATCAAGAATTTGTTGCATTAATTCTTTTTGTTGTTGTGTATATGTTGGTTTAAAATGGAGTTGGTTTGTTTTACATAATTTCTTTAATGAATTATCTAAATTTACTTCATACAATTGAACAGCTTGGAGTTTTTGTTCAATAGGAGAACCACTTGGTAATTCACAAAATAATCCTTTATTTATCTTGTCATCTTTTTTTATAACTTCTTTAACGTCTTCTGTTGGGGTGGATGTTTCTGTTATTTGTGTTGATGAATATAATGAAGAAACTTGCTTTTTGGGTGATGAGATTTGTTGTAATGGAGTCCCTGGAAGAGAGTTATATGATTTATTTTGTTCAACCCTTCTTCCAATTAATACTGAACGTTGTTTTGAAGAACTTGTCATATGAATTTGTTCTGATGACATTGTTTCTTGAAAATAAAACTAAAAATTTTTATTTTTTAGTTTTCGTCAATTTTTAATCTCTTTGAAAGAAGATACTTTTTTCTTTTTTGATATTGAAATTCTAAATAATAAGAAAATAGTTTTGTATGGGGTTTTCTTCATTTTTTTTCTTAATTTTTCTTTACAATCCACCTTTAATCTTTTAATAATGTAAAATTCGAATAACCAAATTGTCAAGCCTTGGCTCATTCAAAAAAACTAAGTTACTTATTTTATTTCTATGGGTTGTCTATTATTAATTTTATTTGACATTGATTTAAAAATTTTTTTGTTTTTTTTTCTAATGAAAGTATATTTCAGTTCTTTCTTAAAAATAGAAACATTAATTTATTCTAATAAAATTAAATAAACTTTATGTAGTATTTTATATAAAGAAATACTGTCTGAGATTGTGATAGAACCAATTTACAGATACTGACTCACTACTGAATAAACCATAGGTGTATATAATTCAAAGAAAAACATAATATAATTTTATTGTAAAATGAGAGTAAATAACGTTGTGGTATGAAACGAGAATATTATGAAAATAAAAATAAAACAACTAAGTTGTTATTATAAAAATAATCATAAAAATTGTTTAAATACAGTGTCTGGTATAAAAATTATGTAAAGATTGGATAATAGTCATAGACAAAATTAGTTGTCTAATTTTCCTTTGTATAGATATTTCTTTTATTCTATTCAAAACTAAAAGAATGTTATAGAATCTTATTTAGAAAGAAAATATTATAAGGATTAGTTATTATATATTATTTGGTTCATAAAGTTTATATTCCACTCTTCGTATCAAATCATCTTTTTTCATAACATTAGGTTATTTAGATATTCAGAATTGAATCTTTTCCATGAATTTATGAAATTGTAAAAAAGAAGAAAAAAACAGTGTAATATACAATTAATTTGTTTATAACAATGATTTATTCAATTCACAAATTTCTATATAAACAAATATCTCTTTTTTATATTTTTGATTTGTTCAGAACTTTTATCTAAAAAAGATGTAGTCATTAAACAAATATTTAAATTATTACCTTTTCTTACAAAGGAATGTTTGTTTCATTATATTTTATTGTTTTATTATGTTTATTTCTTAAGGAATTTAGTAAACCGTTTATTATTCTTGTATCAACTATTTGATTGTTACTACTTCGTTAGTATTCTTTAATACTAAGAACGATTAATACTCTCAAATTAAGTGTTATACACCAAATAAACAAATACAACTAATCGTAAAAAGAACAGTCTATTTTTCTATTGCTTTATTATATTTTAAATGAAATTTAGAATTTATAAAAACTAAACATAATTATAAAATGCCACGTTGATGAACTATTTAAGATCAATTTTATCGTAAGAAATATATTTTCTTTAAAGATGGCAAGTGTTGAGTCAATGTTAAAAGTATTTGATTCAATCAAAATGACTACTCCTAAAGGAAAGGTTGTTATTAAAACTGACGAACAAATTGATCAGTTTATTGAACAATTAAATCTTGATTATGATGGTGTAGATTTGTATATGTTAGGGTATCTTGGTGGGTGTAAAAAATATGGTCGTTTCTATAGAAATGAACTTGAAAAAGTTGTAAAAATATTAAACTCAAAAAAGCCTTTGTCACAAGAATTAAATAACCAATTTAATGCCTTAGAAGGAGAGTCATATGTTAAATTTCTTGGAGTTGTATATGATTGGGTTGATATAATGTTGAAAGAACTTCAATCACATCAACCAACTGGTGAAAAAGTTAATTTAAAAATTTCTGGATTTGTTCCTGTTGAAGGAAGAACTGAAATGATAGATATTTTGCAACCATTGTTATCTGCAATTATTCAGCCTAAATATAAAAACGATGTATTTGAACAATTTATTTATTTTGTCATTAACTATAAGAAAAGAAGACTTATGAGAAAGGATGAAATTCAATTCCTCATTGATTTTTTAATAAAATATCCAAATATGAAAGCTGTAAAAAATTCAGATGATGATACTTGTTATTTCCCAATTCTTTATGATGAATTTATTGAATATGTTCAAAATAATCACAAATAATTTAATGAATTTTTAACTGAAGACTTTATTATTTTTTTTAATCAGTAGATTTATATCATTTCCTTTGTTTCTTCTTTTTATTTTGTTCTTTTTTATTGCTTTTGTTTATTTGCACTTTTAAGAAAGGAATAAGTTAATTTAGTGTCAATAGAATTTTCATCTATTCTTCTAGCTCAGAGGAGACTAGTCCCATCTCTGAACCTTTTTTTAACAAAAGGAATAATCTCTCTGTTTAACCTATCACTTAGGTTTTTCTAGGAGTATGTGCAAACCATGCTTTGCTTTATTTCTTTCTATTTAAGTTTTTTCAAACTTCTTCCGCTTATTTTTTCTTTTTAATTTCTTGGTTGATTTTTGATTTAATTCTAAAGAATGTTAATTTTTTTCTTTATTATATGATGAATGAGCATATCATTACTACTATTTTATTATGAATAATTTCTTTTAGTCTTAGCCACACTTTAACAAATCCTTTTCCTTGGATAATATATATTTCTTAATTTCTTTATTAATAAAAACCAAGTCTTATATTACAAAATGTAATATTCTATCATAGTAAATTACTGAACTCTTTACAGCATTATCTATTCCATTTTCTATTTTTCTATTCAAATACATTACTATAACCATATAATAATTGATGGTTCATTGTTTGAATTTGTATTAAGGTTTGTGTGTGATGTTTCAGATGTGCCACCTTCACTCTTATTTTCATTTTTAAGAAATCAATCATTAAATAAAATTATTTTTTATTTCTTTAACAACAATAGATATATATTAACATTTCATAGAATATCTATTATTGTATTTAATAATTACCTTGGTATCGACTATTCATTGAACAAAAACATACTGCGTCCTAGTTTAAGAAGTTAATTTCATAAGTGGATTCTATTAGCTCTAATGAAATCTAAACAAAAGGCAGATCCAAATTAATATCAATAAACATTGTTCTTTTCTTTTTTTTTGATTAATGCATGGAAGTAGTTAATCATTTAATAGTTACATATTATTGAAAATTTTTTAAGTGATAACTTATACATCCATAACGATAATAAAATGTACATACGAACAACCAATTCATTTATATTAGTTATATTCTCTATAACTCAGATACTTATTTTCACTAACTAAGAAATTTTATTTAAAAGTATTATTATTGATATATACTTATTAAATATCTCTTCTGAAAAAAAAAGAAAATTATTTAACAGAAAGGAAAAATTTTCAACCTATTCTATTTCTCTTTGAAACCAATACTTTAGTCTTGTATAGTTAGGTAGAGTCAAAATATATTAAAAATTATTAAATAAATACTTTAAAGCAAAATTATACATAAATATTAAATCATTAACTTTTTTATTTTTAGGTATATATAGACAAAAATGTTATTTCAAGTAATTATTAATTTCAAAACCATAAGAGTAAAAAGTACTTCTATTGTTTATTCTAAACTCTTTTCTATCAATGATTTATTTTTATTATCTATATTATAATAATGATATATTAAATTTTAATTCTACATCAACTCAAATAAAAAAAGGAAATTGTTTTAATTAATAAAATAGTTAAATTAAATTTATAAAATTTATTATTCAAATAAACTCAAAAATAAATTACGAACTGTCACTAAGGAACAAATGATGAAATTATTTATTATAATAATGATTATTAACACTTGTTATAGTGAAGAGACAAGTCCTCTTAATTCAGAACATAAAGTAATAGAAGATATTATACCAGAACAATATGAATCATATAATCAAGACTTCAAAACAAAACATTTTATTATGTTTTATCATCCTTATTGTGAGTGGTGTAACGGAATGAGATCATTATTAATTCAGTTATCAGAAGAACTTCCTAATGTAAAGTTCCATCAAATAAATTGTGTTACTTATAAACAATTTTGTCAAAGTCATAGAGTTAGTACTTATCCAAAAATGTACATTATTCATGGATTCTTTAATGGTCAGTGCTTTGATAGAAAATACGAATTAATAAAAAAGTTTATCATTAATTTTAAGTAAACTTGTGTAAAACTCATTTATTACCAACTGTTCACAATTATAATTATTAAATATTCTCTTTAAAATATAACTCCTTTTGTTTATTAACTTTTTTTATAAAGAAATCTTTCATAAAAAGTATTATTGAATAAAAATTATTTTATTACACATTTCATCATAACTTTTTTTAAAGTACAAATCTTAATGAAAGACAAATTAAAAAAGAGAAATATCCTAAACTTCTATTTGAGTGTTATTAATGATAGTAAGAAAGTATCAATTTAATTATCTTCTTT